TGACAAATGTTTAAAATATTGACTGAAAAATTCTAAGCGGCCGCGGTGACCTCGGCCGACATGTTTTGATGACCGTAGTATATACTACGGTCAGCCGCTTCCCTACAGTGAGTAAAAATAGAACATTGTCAATCTAAGGAAAATATCGTTATTTTAAAAAAAATGTTTGACGAACAGGACAGATAAAATCGGCTGTTTCTTCCATCAATCCCAAATGAATTAAAATCTACATTTCATGTAATATATCATATGTAAGCAGGTTTAAACCCCCTTCTCATATTATAGAATAATACAAACTCATAAAAAAATTTCAGCTTTGGAATTTGAAATAAAATATGACTTAAAAGATAAAATACAAAGAAAATTGGGAAAGGTGATGCATAAAATAAGTATGAAATTTAAAAGTGATAGAGGTAGTGAGTCCTGCATAAGAACTTTGAATTACTATTTTTTTTTTTCAAAATTTACCTCCAATATCTACATGATCTATTTCAAAACGTATTTTGTAAATTCTGATAAAATTTTTATGTTTAAAATATTTTCACAGTGAATCATTATTAAGTTTTTCATTGAACATGTATGCATTATGAATGCAAGCTGAAGTGTGTATTAATTTTTTTTAAACAGTCATGAGATATGTTCATGTTAAGAATCATTTAAAATACATTTTCAAGAAGTGTACATTCACTTTATTTAAACAGATATAAGTTTTATTCAACAAATTGCCAACATAGAGAAGCTTCAGGCCAATAACCTGTAAATATTGGACCAATCGTTAAATGAAGGGTCAACTTTGGGCTAACCTAACTAACCAATTGCAAATTTTTGTATGTTGGCTGTTAGTTGGCTTAATAACCACGTTGGCCCGACAATATGCCATCTGACATTTCAACAAAGGGCCAACATTGGGCCAACCTAACCAACCAGTCGTTAAAGATGGCTGTTAGTTGGGATATACCGTAAATCTGGAAATTTTTAGCAAATTTGCGAGTTCATTACATTCGCAAAAATATTTTTCTTAAAAATAGATTACCAATAGAAAATGTAAACAAAATTTTGAAACCTAAAAATTAATCAACATCATTTTGACCTGAAATCGCAAAATAAAATCGACGTAAAAATTTCCAGATTTACGGTAATTATACACACTTTGGCCCAATAATATGCCATTATGTTGGACTGACGTTGGACCGATGAGCAAAACGACCGTGGGCCAACGTAGGACTACCAACAATGGGCCAACATTGGAAAAAATTGGGCCAACGTTGACCCAACAATGTCTTGCTATCTGTGTTGGTAAATGGTCGATATTAAAAGAAGAAATTGAGATATTAAATTTCATTTGAATTTATAGAAGTCATCTGAATATCATTGATATGATCTGTACTCAACTTTCATACATGTAGATATGATCGAGATTATTATTAAAAAGATTCATTCAAGTTTGCTGGACTTAACACATAAAAGTTAAATATCTGTCCTTTGTTACGTCCGAATGGAAATTATAGTTTCCTGATTGAAAAATAATGCTTTAAGATTACATTGTGATGATATTATGAAGTTATTTCAATCTATAAAAACATTATGGTCATTTAGCATGATAATTCACAAGAATTTGTGTGATGCAATCAGATTTTTGGTCTAAAAAATCACATCTGGAAGAACACACATTCGCTCGGAAGTTACGCACTTTAGTGAGACACGTTGCCTTCGCCTATCTTGTTAAGTCCGTCGAATTGGACGTTAAATGGTGCCTCGTGTCAGACATTGCAACCCTCTTAGTACGTAAAAGATCGACGTTTCACTTCACTTATTTTTGGGAAAAAGTAGGCTCACTTGGGGCTGCGAGAGAAAGATGAAACTCAGGTAAAAGCACCCTCTGGTAGTGAAGATTCAAGTTTGTTCAAATCATGACCCCAGGAGTAGTTGGGGCCAAAATGGGGTATCAGAGTTTAACATAGGAATACTTTGGAAAATCTTTTAAAATCTTCTCAAGTGAAGATCCAAATTTGTTCAAATTATGACCCCTGGGTGTAGGTCGGGGCCACAATAGGGTATCAAAGTTTAACATAGGAAAACCACAAGGGCAGGAAACATGAAAATAATAAATAGCATCCTCTGATCGTGAAGATTCAATTTGCTCAAATCATTACCCTCGGGGATAGGGTGTGCCACGATGGAGTATCAAAGTTCAACATATGAATACATGAGAAATATCTTTAATCTTCTTCTTCTCAAGAACCACTGTAGCAGGAAAGATGGTATTATGTAGAAGCATCCTCTGGTAGTGAGGATTAAAGATTGTTCAAATCATTACCCCCCGGTGGTAGGGTGGGGCCACAATGGGGTATTAAAGTTAAACATAGGAATACATACTAGGAAAAATCTTTAATAATCTTTTTCTCAAAGACAGCAGTGCCATGATTAGTAATAGTTATATGGAAGTTAGTATCCTCCGGTAGTGAGGATATAAGTACGTTTGTTCAAATTATGACCCCTGGGGCAAGGATGGGACCATTACGGGTGATCAAAGTAAAATTACACAGAAAAAATCTTTTAAGGTCAAGATCTAGTAAATAACTTTAGACTAATTTTTTGGTGCTAGATCCATTATGACGTCATAATCAATTTCAACTTTCTTTTTCCCGTACTTTACGGCTTCAGCAGAATTATGTAGAAAAAAGGGTATTTTAATGACATTCAATTTGAAATCATATGAAAAAAAAAACCCGGATACCTATATTAAATTTGATATTGATTTAAAGAAGAGGCCATGAACATACTAATTACCGTTTTATGAGAGACTGTAGGCAATTTAGATACATTTCCTTTGTCGAATATGAAAAAAACTCCCAAATTCATGACTGGTTTTCTTAATTTTTCAGTAAAAATGACAGTTTAAAATACAGTTTTTCATCTTCTTTACCTACAATTTATTCCCCGAAACACCTTGTTTGAACAAGCTAAAGCTGTAAAGCATCAATAAAGGTATTTATTTCTCAAGTTTGATAAATTTGTAGGCACCTTTCATTTACTAGATCTTGACCTTAACATCTTCTTCTTGAGAACAGCAAAGTTGTGATTGGTCATAGTTATTGGAAGCATCCTCGCGTAGTTTAGACTAAAGTTTGTTCAAATCATAGACTTGGGTCAAAATAGGGTGTCAGAGTTTTACATAGGAATACTTGGGAAAAATCGATACAATTCTTCACAAAGCCAAGATAAATCATTAATTGATAGCACCATTAAAGTAGATCAAAACAATAAACAACATAGCCATTATGTGTCATGTTAATTCAAAAGCATTCTTAGGAAACGTAGATTTAAGTTAGTTCAACCCCCCTCCTCCCTCAAACCCACTTTTACAATACAAGTATACAAGTATATTTAAACTTTTCAATACTGAACTGATTTTTGCTTTTACCTAGCTAGTTGCTCCGATGAGCGATGTGGCCCCTGGCCCTCTTGTTTTAAAAGCGGGTCAAACTCTATGGACAAAGTCAAAATATAAAAACTATTTACATCTATTGAAAGGATTTGCCAATGGCAAAGTCAATGGTTTGCTCCGGGAGACCCAAAATATGTGTCTGATATATAAAAAGCACTAAAATGACTAACGACGCGAACAATACAAACTGTCTATTTTTTTTTATTTTTTATTGTTGGTCATTTTTAGTGTTTTATTTAAATTTCCATCCTTGACCTTTACAAATAAACAACCTGCAGTTATATTCTAGTTCATATGACTGTTACTAATAGAGAGAGAGAGAAGTTCTAGCTATATATAATTACACCTGCAAACACAAACTAACTATTTAACCACCCCCACCCCCCATAGCAAATGAATTTTTTTGACAGCAGTCACAATACGAGGGGTTATCAAAAGGTTTGTGGACTGAGGCTATAAAATTAGTATTATGTAGTATGTGCTTTCAAAATTTTTAAGGAACATTAAACAACAAAAAATAAAGGAAATGTTGAAAATATAGGTCGGTACTTTCATTATTTGCCAAATTATTATAAATAAAAAAGACAATATATGATTACTTGGCGCCGTTTAGTTTCATGACGTCCGACAACGTCATTGTTTTTCAAGGCCCCCTTCTTCTACCTCATACACTTACTTTGATGATATTTCCTGGAGCTGAGTAAGGAGTTAAACCCTTCTTGTTTGTATATTTTTAAAATGTCATGAACAGCGGCTTTCACTGCATATATTGCAAGTGGAATTATACATTGGGAGAGATCCTCGCTTGATTTTGACAGCATATTTCGCTTTTTGGAGTTTAATGTCTACAACACAATGATCAACACCATTATGGACGTGATTGATTTTATTTACACCTAGACTACTAATCAGCATTAACTGTGCTTCTCTTTTTTGCAGTTAAAAAAATTACTCTAGATATATTTTATTTCTCCTTAGCCAGTTTAAAAGTTTCCAATGTCTATATTTTTTTCAGGAGCAAATCTTTGCAGAATGTAGGAAAAGGAAACCCTTCCCCTTTTGACCTCATTTTTATTTTCAAGGCCATATTTATTTGGAAACTCCATGTAAAATTTACGATAAAATTTTAAAGAACTTCCAGAATGAAATAAAAACTCCATATTTTATGAAACAATATATAGTGTCCCAACACATACCTGAATTAAAGGGATTTTTGGATGTCAAATGTTCATATCAAAAGAGTTTTTCTCAGTTACACATATCAATTACGTCGTGTTCGAGGTTGCACTGCCTAGACATTTCCATTGCTTACAAAAACATTAATAGTTTATTAAAAATTAAATCTATGATTTGCAGTTTATCCTATAAATAAAAAGGATGATGCTGACTAGATATCTTAATATTCATTGATTTTAAAGCGCTGGTCCACGTACTTTTTGATAACCCCTCGTACTGCAGAGATCTATAATGACTGTAAAGAAGCAAAATATGACGTGTAACACCTGCTGCTACATACCTAGATACCATAAAACAACTTAAACTGCGTATATACCTTTAAATAAGTAATCATATTTGTAGTCCTTCGTCCCCATTTTATGACTACCGGAATGAACAGAAGAGCTACCTCAGGAAGTTAAGTTAATTACTCGCTGTTTTACCGGGGATTGTTTGAAGAAATCCTCTATGTGCTTGTAGAAGCCAGATCTTATTGGTTCAGGTTAATGATGGGTGTGATTGGTGCTAGACTTGGGTCTTCCTTCGTTAATGCAATATGGCTGAATATATGGTGGAAAATAGTACCAAACTCCCCGGATGTTTACATAATTTTTTATAGACACGCTGAGGAGACTACTGAATGGGTAGGCGTTACCTGACAGGCTGAATTCAGGTTTCATTTTAAAGGTCATACGCAACAGTTCATAACGCTATGTTTTTACTTTTTAAACATTACGTTTGGTAAAAAATCTTTTGCATTTGCGTAAGGTAGGATTCTTCTCTGGTCTCTGACTAGATGAAATATTAAGTATATTTGCTTTTATGTCTTATACACTTTACAAAACATCTAAGTGTTCACTCTAAATAAATGTATTTATTTAAAAACTGCTTTATATATAAAAGGGTTTGATATTTTCAAATTATTACAACAAATGAGTAATTTCAGCATTTTTTAAAAGAAAATCAGATATTACCGATGAAAATCAATGTTCCATGACAAAGCTTTAAAACAATAAATCCTCGGCATGTTTTGAGTAATTAACATCTTTTTGCGATCATTATCAAATTTTAAAAACTGGTGCAAAATGACCATTGAAAAAGAGAGAGCCGTTGGAATGTTGATGTCTGGATCATCCTTGCATCACCTGTTACTCACTTTTATTTTTGTTTTTAATTGTCCTTAATATTAATTTTAAAAATTAACGACCAATATCAAAACACATTTTAACACATTTTTCTATAGGCTGTGCGTATCTAATATGACCGATGAAAAAGTTCTGTTAACTTTAAAATCTTATCTCTTTATGCTTATATGCAACTTTTGTCATGCACGGGAAGAATACCCTGGTCACCGATTTTGGACTACCCTTGTAAGCATCTGCTTAACTTTAATTGGTGTAATTCGAACATAAAAGTTACCATTGCTTGTCCTTCATTTGGATATATGTACATGGTTTAATGGACCTCTCTAAATACACGAAAACTAATAAAAGATCAGAAAAGTATACAAAGCCAGGTGAATCGAAATTTTTTCAGGAAAAGCAAAGTGGTAAAAATCAGCCTATATGATATTGCTGATTTCTTGTCATTTTGTTCTTCCTCATAAAATTCACCTGGTTGGTATATTAAGTTTATATTACACTTTTAGCATCAATATAACATATTCTAAAATTTGTTTTAACATGTAAACCTTTATTAAGTGTGATTTGTCTATATTTGATCTTTTTTTATTGAAATAGTACTAATATTTTCCAAGTCGATTTCATTTTCAAGTTCTTAGGAGAAAAAGTTCTAAGAATTATCCACTCTTCTAAACTTGTAATATGATATTAAGTGTTGTCACGGATTATCCGCGGGTTTATGTAAAGTACGTTAACCTTATTGATACGTCACAATACTGTACGTTATGTTTCTATAGTTAATAACAGAGTCTAAAATAAACCACTATACGATCAAGACGCACTGCTATTCTTTCCACAACATTTTGGTGCCGTGATCGACGGAATGTCTACATAATACGTAAAATGGAAGGAAGACTGAAAGCCATACGGGCCGGTAACAGTTCAGCGGTGACGAAACTCTTCGGACGATTTTGGGACTTGAAAGAAAATACAGCCAGTGAAGTAACGGAGGAAATCGTAATAATTAGGAAGTCTCTGACACAGAAAAGGCAAACTCTACAAGAACTAAATGAACGAATATTAGACGCCTTATCTGAAGAGGACATAGAATAAGAAATCACAAACACAGATGAGTATATGTACGAATTAGATTGCAAAATTAAGAAAACAGAAAAATTTACAGAAAAAGTTTCATGTAAAACTTTGAACGCCAGTGCTGAGTGTTTTATACCCGCCTTAGAAATTCACGATAGTAACGTAAACATTTCAGCTGCAATTAACTCAAGTGAAACGGCTTATGAGAATATTTTAAACAATTTTCCTGCCTCTGATCTCAATGAACAAAGTAACCAGGAGTGGCAGAAAATTGTTTTGTCATTACCATCCCACAACGCCATGAATATTCATCGATTACCGAAGCTAAATCTTCCAAATTTTGACGGGGATATACTAGAATGTAATACATTTTGGGATTCATACGAATCAACAATTCAAACAACAGCCAACTTTAACGCCAATTCAAAAGTTTTCGTATCTCAAGGCTTAATTACGCGACGCAGCAGCATAAACCATTGCAGGATTTACTCTCACAAACGCAAATTATGAAACCACCGTAGACCTGCTCAAGGAACGGTTTGGTCAACCGCAGAAAATTATTAATGCTCACATGAGAGCACTTATGAAACTGGAAGCCCCGAGAAACGACGCCATCAGTTTAAGAAATTATGGAGACTGCTTGGAATCTCATGCCAGGAGTTTAGAGTGTTTAGGACAAAAACAAGAGATGTATGGAGCTTTACTTATTCCAGTCATAATCAACAAGCTACCAGCTGAAATCAGGAAAAACATTGCACGTGAGTACGATGGTGACAACATTTCACTACACGATCTTCGTAAAACTATCAGCAAAGAAGTCAAAATCCTTGAATCAGGCCAGATTGAAAACAGCGATGGATTCCACGCAACAGCAATGTTTCTTACCGGAGCCTCAAAGAAACAAAGCAATGTTCATTATGGACACAACCAGAAAACAGAAGAGTCAACTCCTTATGTCGAAACAACAGAGATAAAGAGCCGCCCATGCATTTATTGTTGCACAGAGAATCAATTTCCAGGGGATTGTAAGAAAGTTACAGAAGTAGGTGCAAGATTCGACATCTTAAAACGGAAGAAATTGTGTTTCAACTGCTTAGGAAACCACCGCGCCGCAGATGGTAAATCCTGCAACAGATGTAAAAAGTGCAAGAAGAAACACCACACAAGTATATGCGACATGAAACTAACGAGGGACAGAGACGAGTCCACCAAATCAACAATTGTCAACATTGTAGGAACGAGCAAACCAAAAACCACAGAAATGAACGTTGAACAACGACATAAAAGTGTTTTATGTAAATCAGCTTCCACTCCGATGAGTCGGACTGTGGACTCCATTCAAGAACGTAGCAAGTCGACTAACGAGATACAGCAACTTAAGTCAGAGCTGAAGACTAAGACAGAAAGGATGAACGCGTTGGAACAAGAAAATGCTACCATGCTAGAGAAAATGTTACTTAAGGAATGAAGCTTATTTCAACTTATGTTATCCGATATAACATAACTTGGGGCAGTTTACGCTTTATAAACGGCGAAGCGGTTTATAAGAAAGCGTAAACTGCCCCAAGTTTTGTTATATCGGATAACATAAGTTGAAATTAGCTTCATTCCTTATAATTTGATTTCAGTGTAGACAATGAGACAATATTTCCTTCGGAAAAAGGCTTCAAATTGAGCAATATTTTTAAAGTAACGTCAAGCGGAGTAATACGTTTTTGACGTAACTCATTGTGACGTAGGCAAGTTATGTTATACAAAAGGTTATATGTTCCTCTGAATGATTCAGCCAATGAAATTGCTTGATACAAGTGAAATTAAATTATAATTCGACCAACAAAGAAATTTTCAGACTCGTGTGGAGAATGGGATGAAGGATATGATGGAACATATAAATAAACTAGTGTACGAAAATGGACGTCTGCATAACGAGGTTCGGGAATTAAAGGATCAAGTTGTTAATATCAAAACCTACAGTACTCACTCGGAGCATCCTAATGCTAGTATTCAGTCACGATATGATTACGCTCGAAGGCTAATAAGGGAGCTAAATATCAAAGTACAGAAACTTGAGAATCAGCTACAAACCTCACAGGGCCCCGTGGAAATTAGGGATAAAGGTTACATGTTCACCACAAGGATCCGTGATAATGCACTAAGGGAAGAAACTCAGATGACAGAAAAACGTACAGAGGCTGAGGAAAAGGAAAAAGAAATATCACAGAAAAAGAATCTCAGGGACATGGCAGAGATATTAAACAAAATACTAATCTACGGACTCGACACATAGAGCTGGAGAAAGCTTACACAGAACTACGTCACAAAGACCCCGGAACTGAGACTGATACAAAACCTGGCAGATAAAGTGTCAGAACAGAAAAGGATCGAGTATCAAAAACAGGAACCAACGAAAGAATCCGTGAATGGACCTCTTAATTCAGTGATTATGAACTTGTTTTTATTTTAAAGAACTATATAGGGTTTCTATTATGTTTTGGCCCCCATTTTTGTTATAATTTCAACGCCAATAAACCTCAATGTAATTGATATTTTTTGAAAGATTATAATGTATACTTTTCTTTTATGGTTAAATTGATATATTGATTTAAGTAATATGCAGAGAATTTAAGGTTTAAAATGACTAAGTTTACAAGAAAACGTCAAAAAATGGCATTTTAAGCATCGTTTTCGGCGATTTTATGTATGTGCGACGCCTTGAACAAGAAAGATATTTACACAGGTAAAAGATATTTTCAAAGAAAGTCTTCATTCAAAAAATTAATCTTGTTCATACAGTCGCACACACTTTAAAATTTAAAAAACCTCGAAAAAAATGGCACTTTATGACCCGCGTGACGTCACAAGCATGTACGGAGAATGACGACGACGTTGTTGACATGTGATGAACTTTGTTTATTTTGAAGGTAGCATCATCTATCGATTGCTTTATGTATATCTTCCAACATAAAGTTCTAGACATATTTGTTTTTTGAAACATATTTGTGATTAAAGAATATTTTAATTTATCGGGATCGAGCTGTTGATGTGTGAATATACAGGTTTAGATCACAAGGAACACGATGATCGAGTTTGACCTTCGAATCGCTCGAACTTCGTCTACTGTACATTAAATCAGTTCACAGAAGAAATATATACACAGTATACATTTTATAAAATTATTAGATCATGTTAAAATACGTTCATTGTGTGTGTGGATATTTCCATATCTACTTTATACGTTTTTTCTTCCCATATCGTTCATTATGTTAACAAGGCAACAAATGTACGGCCAATCAGACGTGTAAAAAATTCAACGTTATTC